AAAACATCCACCTTTACATTTCTGACCCTCACAGTCAGTCCTGGTAGCAGTTATTCACTATTGTACCACAAGAGTCTTATCCCCAACTCCTTTCATCAGCCCCATCCAGACAGGTTGGAAACCATTCAGTGAAGATTCTACCTTCCCCTGCACCCTCTGGAACTAGGCTCCCTCTTGAAAGCTTGTAAGCCTTGAGTTTTTTTGCTCTTGTTTTCTGAAAGATGAGTGCTTTTGTGAGCAGAGAAACTGATCTCCAGATTACCCGTGTGCTTTAATCCGTTTACATGGATCAGGCTCCCATGTCAAAGAAAAGGCTTGCATTTGAAGCTGGCTCCAGGGTAGTTGAGAAAGCAGCCGAGCATAGGAGCCCCGTCACTGCTGCTGCAGGTAGTAGGCAGAGTATATGCAGTCTGTCCTTTTCCTTTTTTGATGAATCAGTTACTTAAAATTTTACTGTCAATGTATGGTTACATTGACAAAACTATGACACTCAAAAAGCTTACCCCAGAAGAGCAAAGGTAGATTACAACAAATTTGTAGTTATGCATCAGCTTGTTCCTAATTCCTTCTCTGTGTTCATTACATTTGTAGGGTCCTGGAGAAAGCACAAAAGAGCCCTGGTTAAGTTATGGGGGTTTTTGGTTTTGTTTTGGAAAGCTTTAATTTGCTGTGAATATCTTTCAGTTACAGGATTATAGCATCCTTGGTGTTGTTTGTTGTTAAGTGCCATTGAGTAGGTTCCAACTCATAGTGACCCTGTGTAGGGTTTCTGAGGAGCAGCTGGTGAGTTTGAACCACTGACCTTGTGTTCACAGTACAGTGCTGATCTTAGAGTGCCACACTAGGAGTCCATAGGATCCTTGTTGTGTTGTTGTTAAGTGTTGTTGAGTTGGTTCCGACCTATAGTGACCCTGTATAGAGTTTCCAAGGAGGGGCTGGTGAGCTTGAACTGCTGACCTTTTGGTTGAAATGACTTACACTCCAGCGCATTAACCCACAGTGCTGCACCAGGCTCATGAAAACTCAAACACCAGACTCACAGCCAGAGAGTCAATTACAACTCATAGTGACCCCTTATAAACGTTCCAAGGCTGTAATATTGACAGAAGCAGCTCCGGTAGCATAGTGGGCTGTGTGTTGGGCTGCTAACCACAAGACCAGCAGTTTGAGTCCATTAGGCGTTCCGCAGGAGAAAGATGAGGTTTTCTGCTCCCATAAAGGTTTACAGCCTTGGACACCCTACGCAGAGTCGCTATGAGTCAGGACCAACTCAGCAGCATACAACCACCACCACCAAATCTACACAGGAGCAGAAAGCTTCATCTTTCTCCCGTGGGGCAGCTGGTGGGCTTGCACTGTTGACCTTGTGTTCTCAGCCCGTTGCTTATCCTGCAGTGCCACCAGGGCATTCGTAGTCCTTCAGTTGGCGTGGCCTGCATTCATTGCTTACCATTTCTGAGGAGCCGCTATTTCACTACACTCTAAGTTTGAAGCTTCTCTTTCCTGGAGGAGCCCTGGTGGCACTGTGGGTTAGGCATTGGACTGCTAATTGAAAGGTCAGTGGCTCAAACCCATAAAGATTTACCATCTCAGAAACCATACAGGGTCACCATGAGTCCAAATCAACTTAATGATAGTGGGTTTGGCTTTGGTTTTTTGTATATTTCACATTTCCTGGTAGATCCATGGTGGCACAGTGGTTAAATGTGCCTGGCTGGTAACTTAAAGGCAGGCGGTTCAAACCAACCAGCTGCTCCACAGGAGAAAGCTGTAGCAGTCTGTTTCTGTAACGTAACAGCCTTACAAATCCTGTGGGCCGGGCAGTTCTACTCTGACTTGTAGGGTCTCTGTGAGTCTGAATTGACGGGAGGGCATTGCGTTTTGAATACTTGTCTTTCCTATTTGCTTTGGTGTTGATTTCTCTTTGGGGGACAGAGCATATGTTACAAATCCTTCATGCTCTTGGCATGATCAAGAACGGGAAACCATGCTAACAGCAGAGACACTGGATTAGGAGAAAGGAAGCTGATCGTTTCTAAGCAAAGTGGGGAAGGAACCTGTAACGTCAGTCTTGTTTCTTCCCCTCCTGGGAATTCGGGCAAAATAACAGGATGGCCCGCATGTATCTGCTGCTGTGTTGTCAGCTGCCGTGGCACCAGATCATTGTGATCCGTAGGATTTTCATTGCTTGCTTTTTCAGAAATAGATCACTAGGCCTTTTTTCCTAGTCTGTCTTATTCTGAAAGTGCCGCTGAAACCGGGTCAGCATCATAGCAACACATACACAAGCCTCTGCTGACAGAAAGGTGGTGACTGCCTGAGGTGTGTGGGCTGGGAATTGAATCCACTGCGCCCTCTGCTGGCTTACTGCATCTGTACTCCCCACCTCCCTCTCTTCTCCCATTGCTGCAGGGAGTAAGGAATGCCGAGGTTTTGGCTATGTCACTTTTTCGATGCTGGAAGATGTTCAGAGGGCTCTTAAGGAGATTACCACCTTCAAAGGCTGCAAGATCAATGTAACTGTTGCCAAGAAAAAACTAAGGAACAAGTCCAAGGAAAAGGAGGAAAATGGTGAGTTTCTTATCACTGCAGGAGGTCCCCCAGGATGAAGAGGAACACGGACCAAGAAAGAGAGTGGGTACAGGGGCCTTCTAGAACTGAACGCTTCCCCAATGCCTTTTCAGTATCCCAAAGCATCCAGTGTTGTTTGTTACTACTTTTAGTCTTTGTTTACTCCTTAAGTATGGAAAAGTGCTGCTCCTGGGAGCTGCCACGCTTTAGCACTGTGAAAAATGCCATCTGTAGCCAATAGCTTTTTGCTTGTGTTGCTCTGGGCCTAGTGGTGTGTAGTTTTGAAACCTAGACTTATTCCAGTTGTTTATTTATTTAGAAAATTTGGAATCCCCAAAGAAGACACTGAAGCCTAAAAAAACCAAAGTGGCAGATAAGAAAGCCAGATTAATTATTCGGAACCTGAGCTTCAAGGTAAGTGGCAGAAGAAAATGAATGCTGCTTGGTGGTGAAACTCCTCTCCAGAAGGACGTAGTTGGGCTTCGTTCCTTCTGGACATGAACCTTTGGTGTTCTTGTTAGTTGTCAACTCTGAGTGATTTCAACTCATAGCAACCCTCTGTGTCATAGAAGGAAACCCTGCCCTGTCCTGCACCGTTCTCACAGTGATTATGCTTGTGCCTCCTGCTGTTGTCCTGTGTCAGTCAGTCTGTCTCTTTGGGAATCTTCCTCTATTCCACTGACCCTTCATTTTACCAAGCATGATTCCTTCTCCAGGGACTGATCCCTCCTGACAACAAGTCCACTGTCTTACTTCTCAGAAAGAAGCATTCTGGCTGCACTTATTCCAAGACAGATTAGTTTGATCTTCTGGCAGTCAATGGTACTTTTAATGTTCTTCTCCAACACCGTAATTCAAATATATCATGTATTCTTACTTATTGTCCAACTTACACGTGCGCATGAGGTGATTAAAAATACCATGTTTTCCGTCAGGTACACCTCAGTCTTCAAAGGGACATCTTTGTTCTTTAATACTTTAAAGAGGTCTTTTGCAGCAGATTTGCCTGATAAATTGTTTGATTTCTTGACTGCTGTTTCCATTAGCATTAATTGTAGATCCAAGTAAAATGAAGTCTTTGAAAACTTCGATCTTTTCTCCATTTATCATGATGTTATTTATTGATCCAGTTTTCTTTACATTGAGGTGCAATTCAACAGAAAGCTGACTTTGATCGTCAGTAAGCATTTTAAGTTCTCTTTGCTTCCAAGAAGCAAAGTTGTATCATCTGCATATCACAGGTTGCTAATGAGTTTTCCTCTAACCCTGATGCCATGCTCTTCTTCAGCTAATCCAGCTTCTCAGTTTATTTGCTCAGCATACGGTTTTAATAAATGTGGTAAAAGGATATGATCCTGGTGCACGCTTTGCCTGATTTTATGCCAATTCAGAATCCTCTTGTTCTTTTGTAATAACTTTCGCTTGGTTTATGTACAGTTTCCTTATGAGTAAAATTAAGTGTTCTGGAACACCCATTCTTTGCAATGTTATCCATACTTTGTCATGATCCACACAGTTGAAAGCCTTTGCATAGTGGATAAAGCACAAGTAAACATCTCTCTGGTATTCTCTGCTTTCAACCAAGATCCATCTGACATCAAAAGGATTATGCCTAGTTCCATGTTCTCTTCTGAATTCAGCTTTTAATTTCTGGCTGTTCTTCATCAATGTGCTGTTGCAACCATTTAAAAATTATTTTCAGCAAAATTTTATTTGTATGTGATATTAATGATACTGTTCGATGATTTCCACATTCCATTGGTTCACCTTTCTTTGGAATGGGCACAATCTCCATCTCTTCTAATCAGTTGGCGAAGAGCTGTAGTTCATATTTCTTGGCATAGATGAGTGAGTGCCTCCATTGCTGCATCAGTTTGTTGAAAGAGTTCAGTTTGTATTATGTCAGTTCCTAGAGCCTTGTTTTTCTCCAGTGCCTTCAGTGCAGGTTGGATTTCTTCTTTCAGTATCATCAGTTCTTGATCATCGTGTACTACTTCTTGAAATGGTTAACCAGTGACCATTTCTTTTTGGTACAGTAATTGTACAACTTCCATTTTCTTTTGATCCTTTCATATTTTGATCATTTAATATTTTGCCTATAGAATCCTTCAGTATAGCAATTCAAGGCTTGAATTTTCTCATCAGTTCTTTCAGCTTGCGAAATGCTGAATGTGTTCTTCCTTTTTGGTTTTCTAATTCTTATTCTTTGCACATTTCATTATATAACTTTGTCAGCTCAAGCTGCTCTTTGCAGTTTTCTGTTCAGCTCTTTTACTTCCTCATTTCTTCCATTCCCTTTAGCTTCTCTATGTTCAAGAGCAAGTTTCAGAGTCTCTTCTGTCATCTACTTTTGTCTTTTCTTTTTTTCCTGTCTTTTTAATGACCTTTTGCTTTCCTCCTATATGATGTTCTTGATGTCGTTCCACAACTCTTCTGGTCTTTGGTCATTAGTGTTTAATGCATCAGAACTGTTCTTGAGATGGTCTCTAAGTGCAGGTGGGGTATGTTCAAGTTCATATTTTGGCTCTTGTGGACTTGTTTGAATTTTCTTCAGCTTCAGCCTGAACTGTTTTACACTTGACCATTGGCTTTGTCTAAGCTGATGGTATTGAGTTTCTCCACTACCTCTTCCCACACATGTAGTCACTGGTTATGGTGTTGAAAAAGATAGTTTGCAATAAATAAGTGATTGATCTTACAAAATTCTACCATGCTATCTCCAGCATCATTTCTGTTACCAAGACCATGTTTTCCAACTACTGATCCTTCCTCTTTTTTCTAACTTTTCCATTCCAGTCATTAGCAATTATTAGTGCATCTTGATTGCATGTTTGGTCAGTTTCACACTGAAGAAGTTGGTAGAATTCTTCAATTTCATCATCACTAGCTTTAGTAGTTGTTGCGTAAATTTGAATAGTAATGATATTAACCAGTCTTCCTTGTAGACATATGGATATTATCCTATCACAGGATTGTACTTCAAGAGTGATCTTGAAATGGTTTTTTTTTTTTTTTTTAAAGTTTTTATTGTGAATTATGTGATTGTGTATGTGGGAGAACATTAGCTTTACATTCATCCTACCTTATTTAGTTTCATTACAATGATTACAATTCCCTGCATGCGTCATCAAACAGCCAAAGTGTATACCCCACAAGCCTGCTCTCTGGCCATCAACACACAGACCCTCACCCTCCCAGAGTCCCTAGCCACTCCATCTCTCCACATCATCTTCTCTGCCTCCATCTCTGTCATCGCTGCTTCTCTGGATAGGGTCCCGCACTCCGATCTTCTCCCTTGATGGTCCCAGGTACTTCCGCTCCTGGACTGCAAGATCAACCACTCCCCTCCTTTTGTTACAAAACGTCTACCTTTGCATTTGCAACATTGCAGTGTTCTTTTTGACAATGAATGAGACACCATTCCTCTTCATTTCATGTTCCCAGCATAGTAAACCATCTGATGGTCTGATTCAAGGTGGCAGTCCATGTTAGCTCATTGATGCCTAGAATATTGATCTTTAATCATTCCATTTCATTTTTGACAACTCAATTTTCCTAGATTCACACTATGTACGTTCCATGTTCCAATTATTGATGGCTATTTGCTTCTGTTTTTCCTCATTTGGAGCCTTCCCCCATCAGCAAATGAAAGTCCCCAAAGCTCTGATATACTCCTGTCATCATGGTTGACTCTACTTTGAGGAAACAGCTTTTCCCCAGTGGTATTTTGAGTACCTTCCTGAGGGGCTTGTCTTTTAGCACTACAGCTGACAGTGTTCTGCTGCTCTTCATAAGGTTTCCAGTGGCTAACCATTCAGAAGTGGTCCTCCTTTCCTTCCTCGTCTGTCTTAGTCTAGAAGCTCCACTGAAACCTGTCCACCATGGGTGACCCTGCTGGTGTTTAAAATGCTGGTGGCTTAGCTTCCAGCATCACAGCACACTCAAGTCACCACACAGGCAGTACATCAAACTGACAGACGAGAGGTGGACATGAACCTTAGTCTTGTTGAGTTCACAAAAGTGGACCTGTATAAACAAGACTTTATTAAGGATGCTAGTAAAAAGTATAAAGATGTATTCCTTTTGGGGGGATTGGTTTCAGACAAAGAGCAAAGAGAAAAATCTCTCTGACTTGTGTCTTTTTTGTCTCTTAAATACAAAGGTGCCCTCTATCTCGATGTTTGCTGTCGTAGTCTCAAAAGCAAAAAAGGTGTAAAATTACTCAGGTTTTTCCTAATGAGCTAACTTGGCAGTTGATGTTTCAGGTTTGTTGCCTGTGATTGTATCTCTCTTTCACTTTCTTCACTTTTGGTTTCAGTGTTCAGAAGAAGACTTGAAGACCATATTTGTTCAATTTGGATCTGTCCTAGAAGTAAACATTCCTAGAAAGCCAGGTACTGCTAGCACACCTTCATTTGGTCTGGATTAGATTAAGACTGTGTAACATGTCTTCTTCCACATTATCCTTGAGCTAAGCACCGTGTGAAATAGAAATACAAGTTTAAAGGAACTTCCTTGTCCAAGTGAGGATATGGGGCTGGAGAGATTAAGATTATATAGCATTTTTGCTCTTAAACTAAGCACCATTTGAAATAGAAATACAAGGCCCACAACACTTGCTCTTCCTGTGAGCCCAAAATGATATGTATAAAGTGTAGCGCAGTATTTAACAAGTGATAAAAACTCAGTTGATAGTGATTATTCTCTGATTGTATTTCTGGTTATATCAGAAGTAGTCTTAGAAGACTAGTTGCAGTTTGAAGAGGTGCATTCTTCTGCCAGACCTGAGCCAGGGTGTGCTCAGCAGGAAGACCACACCTTTTGCTTTGGGGAAGGGCTGGCTGCTTTGTGGCATGTTTTGACCACCTGTATGGTTCATTTCCATCTAAGTTTTAGTGTTTTTGGGCTCTCTACCTGCTGACTCTAACTTCTTTTTACATATGTTTGCACACAGATGGAAAGATGCGTGGCTTTGCATTTGTTCAGTTCAAGAACCTCCTAGAAGCAGGCAAAGCTCTCAAAGGCATGAACATGAAAGAGATCAAAGGTGAGCTTTCTGTACCCAGATTAGTGACCCAGGTATTTCTGGTGTTTGGGTCAGCTGACACAGTTACCCGCTTCCTACATTGTCACAAGGTGAGTGCTGCTGACACTGGAGAGCCTCGCTGCTGATACTGAAGCCGTTGGACTGAAATAGTCCCATTATTTCACTTTTTAGGGCATGTCTGGAAAGGACCTTTCCATTGCTCCATTTCCGTTCTTTGGGAATGAGTGTTTTTCCATCACTGATGGAAACGAAGCCACAACAGTGATGGATCACACAGGCGGGTGTTTCTGGGATGTGGGATTGCAGGTTCCTTCTACACTGTGCTTGTTACTGTTTGAGCAGACACGACTATTGAATTGGCTGTAGCTGCTCCAGGTGTCCGTTTACCAGATACGGCTTTGTCTCGTTAAGGGATTGGCTTAGAGACCGTTTAACTTCGGAGTAAGGTGCAGATTATTAAGGTGCCCATTTTACTTCTTGCTAGTGTGCCTGAAAGGAGTCCTGGTGTGTGCTGTGAGTTAATGCACCAGACTGCAAAGCTGTTTGAACTGCAAGGTTGTCAGTTCAAGCTCACCAGCTGCTCCTCAGAAACCCTATAGAGGGTCGCTATGGGTCGGAAACCACTCAACGGCACTTAATAACAACAACGACAGTGTGCCTGAAAACTTGGTAATCTAACTGGGAACACTATTCTGATTCTGTTTTTTACTCCATCTGATATAATTGTTAAGGTTGTACAGAAATGCAAACATTTCTTTTTATAAAAGCTTTTGTGAACTTGGTGAAGGTTTACAGAGCAGATCAATTTTCCATTCAACAATTGTTACACATTTAGTTTCATCTCATTAATTTCAATTCCCATAGTATAACATCACTTATTCCACTTCCTGTTCTGAATCTTGTCCTTGGATAAATGCTGCCCTTTGGATTTTAAATGGTTGATTACTCTAAGGTGTGTGTCCCTCACTAGTGATACTATTCCCCTTCTAGGCCTGTCTGTTGTTTGGCTGACAGTTGAGCCATGGGGGAGAGTTCCTTTCTAGACCTGAAAGGTGACCCAAGGCCGTGGACTCAGGGCTTGTACCAATCCCTGTCTGACCAGTAGGCTTGCTATTTTTTTATGATTTCAAGTTTTGTTCCACATTTTTCTCCTGTTCTATCCAGGTCCTTCTAATGTGGTCCCTTTCAGAGCAGTTGGTAGTGGTAACCAGGCACCCCCTAGTTCTGTTGGTCTCAGGGTTGTGGGGCTGATGTTTACTTGGATCATTAGTTCATTGGGCTAATTGTTTCCAGGTGTCTTCACATGTCTTCACCTCGTCTTTACTCTAGATGTTGTTGTTGTGATGTGCCATGGAGTCGGTTCTGACTCATAGTGACCCTGCACAAGGGTTTCCGAGGCTGTTAATCTTTACGGGAGCAGAACGCCTCATCTTTCTCCCGTGGAGCAGGTGGTAGTTTCGAACTGCTGACCTTGCGGTTTGCAGCCCGATTCGTAACCACTACGCTATCAGAGCTCTAGATAGGAAGCGACTAATAGTTACACCTTAAATAGCTGCTCATCAGATTTTAATAGCTCAGTTATTGTCCACCAAAGTAGGATGTAGAACATTATCTTTCTGGGTTGTCTTGAAAGCTGGTTGACCTTGGTGTTCCTGAGACTAGGTCCTGAGCCCCCAGACCCAGTGACTCCTTCTCTCATGGTGTTTAGTATGTCTGAGAGGTTTTCATAACTTTGCCACCTGTATACTCCACCACCATGTTTGCAGCAAAGGTAAATATCTCTGGCAAACCTTTATACATTTGTGGGTATGCATCTACTCTCCCTCCCAGACCCATTCAACCTGTGTACCCATCCTTGCATCTACTCATTGATCCCCGTTATTGCAGGATTGTGAATATAACAGTATTTACTGCTGTAGAAGGTGACATTTCTGTTCCAGGATCAAGAGGTTAAGGGTTAAAAGGATAAACGGCTACTGGGAGTTTTCTTTTTAGGGCCAACATTTCCAGAGTCGCTGCTGTCTTTGTCTCTACTGGTTCCATTACTGTCTTTGCTGACTGGGAAGTCTTTTGCAGGAGATAGGGATGTTGAAGGAGGAAACCATTTCTGAGGCCCCTTTTCTATCTGACAGGACGGACCGTGGCTGTGGATTGGGCTGTGGCCAAGGATAAATATAAAGATACTCAGTCCACCTCACGTAAGCTGTGGTGTGGGCACGAGGGGTGGGCTCCTGGGGTGAAAGTGGGGACTGTGTAGATACAATTCTTGAGTCTGTGTTAAAAGCATACGGGAACTTGCTTGTCATCGTGAGAATACTGAGCTGGCATTAGTTTACCCAAAAGGATGACTCTGGAGTAAGAGAAACGGAATTTCTGTGTGCTCAGAAACGAGCTCAGAGCAGTTTGTTGATTCAAACGGCACTCTCTGGTCTCCAGGCCTAAAATGTAGGATCTACTGAGTCTAAGCCCCTCCTGGAGGCAGGTGTGATGAGAAGTGAGGTCTAAGTTCATTGTGTCCACAACTCCCTGTCAATGATGGAACATTTAAAATCAGGACACTTCAAACTTGAGTTTCATTTAGAAACCAATTGGTGTTAGGTCATCAGGCCCTCTGAGAACACTTCGTTGAGATTAAAAATGGGTGCTGGGCTCCAGGTGAGCACTATGTTAGCTGTCCTTACTGCCCTTTGTAGGAGAGGGGAAGAACCCTGAACCTAAACAACAGGAATCAGTTAAAGAGAATGACAGGGGGGAAGAGGATGATGATGATGATGATGATGAAGATGATACTGAGGAGGAGGAGACTGAAGAGGAAGAAGAATCAAAGGTGACCAAACCTGTGCAGTTTCAGAAGAGGTAAGCTACTCAAGTCTTTTCTGAAACAACGGGATGTTCAGGATGGCCTCTGAGAGGGAACCTTATCACATCTTCCCCTGCCTCCCTGCTCCCCCTTCAGTGCAGAAGTGTCATGTGAATGATAGTTTTATCATATAACATGCCCATGTTAACAACATGCACAGTCATATCTTGTGCATAGATGCTCATAAGAAGCGAATGCACGAGGGATAGCACAGTCTGCAGAAACCTTATAAAACGGGTGTTATTTGTGTAAACGAGTGGTAATGGCGTCAACCCAGGCCCTTAGTTATGTATTGTGCATTCCAGAGCTGTCAAGAGAGCTGCAGCCGAGGAGAGCAGTGAAGAGGGTCTTCCTGACGACGACGATAGTGACCTGGGCAGTGATGATAGTGACCTGGGCAGTGACAGAGAGGAACTGGCTCAGAGTGACACAGACGCTGACGAGCAAGGGGAGAAAGGTTTGCCTGTGATCTTTGTCATTTCAAATGCCTTTTGTTTTTTTTTCTGAATTGGTTTGGGAATAAAAGGATCTATTTGGGCATATTGTAGAAGTAAAACCAATTCCCGTTGCTGCCTCTACCGGCAATGTTAGGAGTAAGTGTAGCTCACTTACTGAGAAAGGCACATTACCGAAGGAGGAATGGCCAGTAACTGGCCTTTTAGTTTGGGTGGAGACTGTTAACTCAGCTTCCAGGTGGATTGTGCTACCAGTTTGGTGAGGGTGGCCTGTAAGAGATATGAGGGGCAAAGCCCTGCTGTGAGGAGGAAGCAGTGTACCGTGAGGACGGAGGAGGCCTTGACACTGAGGGACCATGAGACTGCACCCCACAGCCCAGAGTCACTTGTCTCTTCACTGTTCTTTCACTTAAAAAAATGGAAGGATTGATACATGATGATGAGAGGAAATTCTACAAGTTCTGTATGGAAAATGAAGGTTCCTCAGCAGGCCCACTCCCAGCCTCCCAAAGTAGCCTTGCTTGTCTGTGTAAGTAGATGTGTCTCTTTTTAAAAGAAACATGTCTCCGTTACCTCCAGATCCTCCCACCTGCAGGCCCCTTCCCCAGAGACAACCAGTCTTAGAAGTTTCTTGTATGTATGTATATTAGCAAACACACACACATAATATGCAACATAGTATACTTTGAGTGTGTGTGGGGTTTTTTTTTCTCCTCAAAAAGTCTACAGGTTTTTAATTATGTTTCCAAAAAGTCTTACCCTCTCGCAGCATATGGGGAATGTCTTTTTCTCACACCTTTGCCACATGGGCTCTCACCAGTCTTTTTCATCTTTGCCAATCTGTTAGGGAAAATTAGTACCTTGTTTCTGATTCAATGCTTTTAATTATGAGTGTGTTTAATTAAACCTCTTAATTTGTTTAGTTGCATGAGGCTTTCTGCTTCCCCAAAGATTTACAGTTTTGGAAACTGTGTACTGGGCCAATATGAGTTGGAACCGACTCGAAGGTGCATAGCAAATAAAAAGTCCTTTGTTCATTTAAAACATTTTTTTTTTAAATTATTGTTTTAAGCAAGATCTTTAGAGATTTAAGAAGCTACTAGCTCTTTGTCACATGGCTTACAATTTTTTTTTTCAGTTCTTTTTTTTTCTTTTCACTTTAGATGTACAAACTTCAAAGAAAAAGAAGAAGAGGAAATTACCCTCTGATGTGAATGAAGGGAAAACTGTTTTTATCAGGTATGTTTTTCTGTCCTGAGTGAATGAATTTTTGGGTTTTTTTGCACTAGTCCTGTGACTCAGGCCAGAAAGTTAGATGCCTTTAAGCCCACCTGCACGTCTCATCTCAGGAGCCTGCAAACAGTAGGAGAATCAGCAGGTGCTGGAGAGCTCATTCCCATTTAGATTTCATTCTTTGGAATTGGGTGACATCATTGGAGCAAAGTGATCCTGTAACTGTCAGAAAGGTCTTACTTCTGCCCTTAGTTTTAGAGGAATGCTGAGGAGGAATGTTGCGTGTCCCAGACAATCTCTCTCTTCATGTCTAACTTCCCTTACTGCGTCTAAAGCAGCATCCAGAGGGCAGGAACCCTGGCAGTGGAGTGGGCTTGCTACTGCTGTGTTAGTCCTACTGATTTCCAGAGATTGCCATTTCCATTGGCTCAGGAGATGTCAGCACACCCCAAGCATGCCTGATCTTTCTTTTCTTGAGGACCAATGTGTGAAGACCATGTGGGTCTTATTTTTAGAGGTTCGTGTTTTACCCTCCTTTAAGGTAAAATGAAGGACCTCTGGTAGCATAGTAGATTACGAGTTGGGCTGCTAACCAAAAGGTCAGCAGTTGGAATCTACCAGCCGCTCTGCAGAACAAAGATGAGGCTTTCTGCTTTGTAAAGATTAACAGCTTCAAAATCCCTGTACAGGGTTGCTATGAGTCGGAATCTACTCTACAGCATACAACTACCACCAAAGTAAAATTAAGATGGTTTTTATCATGCAAGTAATTTTTGTTCATTATGGGAAATAAATGAGCAAAATGACCCCCCCCCACACACACAATAAAATAAAGTCCATAATCACTAAGGAGCCCTGTTAGAGCTTTAGGTTAAGAAACTGGCCTACTAACCAAAAGATCAGCGGTTCAAACCCACCAAGTGCTCTGTGAGAGAATGTTGGACAGTCTGCATCCGTAAACATTTAGTCTTGGGCACGCTCTGGGGCATTTCTACCCTATTCTGCACGGTCACTGTGACTCAGAACCGACTTCCAGCTGTGGACTGGGTTAGACCCTTCCCAACACCCACCACATCATCAATATGAGGGGCTTCCAAAAGCTTGTGGAAAAATGTAATGAAAAGACAATGGACTTTTTCCTCGAACTTTTTGACAGTCCCTTCATAGTTATTTACCTGGATGAATTTAGACTCTTCCTTCTGTGCTATAGGCCATATTCTCAGCAGCATCTTCCCATAGTCCTGTGACAATGCTGTTTGAAGCTACCATCTAAATAATTTTGTATTCACAGAGATTGCTGCTGCTGTGTGCCATCAAGTCAATTGTGACTCAGAGTGAACCTGTACAGGGTTTCTTAGGCTGCACGTCTTAACTGGAGCAGAAAGCCGCACTTTTCTCCCACAGAGTAACTGCTGGAGTCAAACTGCTGAGCTTGCAGTTAGCGGCCCGAATGTCATCCTCAATACCAAGGGTACCGTTCTTGGTACATCTTTGGATGGTTGTTGTTGTTGTTGTTAAGTGCCGTTGAGTTGGTTCTGATTCATAGCAATCCTATATCGGGTTTCAGAGGAACAGCTGGTGGGTTTGAATTCCGACCTTGTGGTTCGAAGTCCAGTGCTGATCCGGCAGTGCCACACCAGGAGTATATCTTTAGACTAAGAAAGTACGAATGTCATCCTCAACACCATTCTCTGTGTATCTTTAGACTAAGAAAGAACCTAGAGGAATCAAAGGATGGGAGAGAGAAATCAGGTGCATGGTCAGGCAAGTCAGAACTTTACAGACTAGGAAGTGCGTGTTTCAGAACGCCTTTATTATCTGGGATGGTCTGTGAGATAGGATAATTTGAGGGTGGTAGTTAACTGAATAAATGAGAAGTAAGATTATAGATAGGTGCTAAGAGCTGTTTTTTCTCACTCCTGGAGAGAGATGCACAGCTGGGGAAATGAGGAATTTTGACAGTGTGTTGAAACTTAGAAGAACAAAATCTCCCTTCAATATTTCTTAATCCCATTGAGAGAAATCCATAGTTTTCTTATTTGTACTTGTTGTTAAGTGCTATCGAGTCAGATCCGACCCATAGCGACCCTGTATAGGGTTTCTGAGGAACAGCTGGTAAGCTTGAACCACCGACCTTGCAGTTCAAATGACTTTGCAGTCTGGTGCATTAACCCACAGCGCCACACCTATTTGGAGTCCTGGTGTGGTGCTGTGCTGTGGGTTAATGCTTTTTTATTTTGAAGGATTTTCTGACTTTTATAAAACTGTAATTGAATCCTGGGTGTCAGAGCAGATACAGAGGAGGGAATGGCTAATCTTGAGAAAGGCAGGCAGACATGTCTGACTTTTCTCACTAACCTGCTGTGAGTCTTTTGATTGTAGTAAAATAAACTGATTTTGGCCAATTTAACTGAAAAAGGATTTGTTGGAGGAACACTGGGTGGCTCACGGAATCAAAGGAACTGTCAAAGAGCAGTATTCACGGAGGGGAAGAGAGGCTGGGCAGGTCTGGGACCCCAGCTTAGGAAGCCACGGGTCTTCTGCCTGTGGCGGCACGACCTTTTAATTGTTTTTCAGAGGTATAGTGGTTACGAATCGGGCTGTGAATCTCACGGTCAGTAGTTCGAAACTACCAGTTACTCCATGGGAGAAAGATGAGGCTTTCTGCTCCCGTAAAGATTTACAGCCTTGAAAACCTTGTATAGGGTTGCTATGAGTCAGAACCGACTCGACAGCACGTAACAACAACAAATAACATATGTTTTGTGAAGTGCCCCTGATGGTGCATGTTTGTTAAGTGCCATCAAGTCGGTTTCAACTCATAGTGACTTTCTATAGGGTTTCCAAGGAGCAGCTGGTGGGTTTGAACCTCCATCCTTGTAGTTAGCAGTCCAGTACTGATCCTACAGTGCCACCCCAGGAGCCCAATAATGTATATAGCTCAGTGAATTTTTTTATGTGTGTGTACCCCCGTAGCCCCCACCCAGATCAAGATATAGGACGTTTCCTTTAGATGGGGGCACCGCTCTTTTGAAGTGAAATCTGCTCTTAACTGCTGGTCTCTGCATATGTCTAAGTTTTACATTCCTAGGAGAGAGACAGATTGACAAAGGAAGTTCAGCCACGTGTCCCTGGGGCTGAGTCATGCAGCAGAGGCCTGGGAGCCCTGCTACAAATTGGTGCGAGTGAAGGAACGACCCCAGCAGATGTAGAACTCACTTAACTTGTACCAGAACAGGACGTCACTTTACAAATTGACCTTTCTTGTGACCTTCTGCTTGTCTTTCCTAGAAACCTGTCCTTTGACTCAGAAGAAGAAGATCTTGGGGAGCTGCTTCAGCAATTTGGGGATCTCAAATATGTCCGCATTGTCTTGCATCCAGACACAGAGCACTCTAAAGGTATTGGCTGTCAGCTGGGCAGTCCCTAAAAGGGTAGGGGTCACTGCCATGGGCCTTGATGTGGTTGCATGAGCACACGTTGTGCCTTCCTGAGGTGCCCACAGGCCATCTAGCCCAGCGCTCTCTGCTGTGGAAACCCCAAGGACCTTCTGAACTTGTTTTCAATGATGCTGCCAGTCCTCATTTTGTCTAAGCTTTGTAAGCCCTCGCTTGTTTACTTTAGGGTAATGAATTCCATTTGTTATTCTCCTTTGGATTTCAAATGTGATCGCATCTCATGGGTATTAATCATTGCACACTGCTTGAAATTACTGGCATCTTTTCCCGTTGCTTTTATTAGAGACGGAAGCTGACAGATTGTGGTGCTTTGGCAGGAGCCAGAGGAAAGCTGGGTACAGGAGTGCTTCAGGGAGTCCCCTCTCACAAGGCTTGCTCTTTTGAGCTTCAGGGGTTGGTCACTCCGTACTCTACCGCACTATTGTTAAACACACATCTGTCAACCCATTCAGGGTCTTTGATGTCATCGGCTGCAGTTGTTGTTCTCCTAAAGCAGCGAGTTCTTTTTTGATTCTTGATTCCTTTGAGATCTAATCTAGTAAGAGCTATGAACATGAACCCTCTTCCTAGAAAAATGCCACCTTGGGGTTTCTGGAGCTTAAGAAGCTCCATTTCAAAGCTACTTCTTTTCCATTTGTTGAGACCTGGTCATTTTGGTTTTCAACCTCTGTTAACTAGGGTGCCAACAAGGCAGTCTAAGGGAAGGAGCACCGAACTACTTGTGGAAACTAGGGATGTAGTAACCCTGCGGGGCTCCAGACCAGCTCCAGGGTTTTACATTATCATTAACACTCTGATCTTCTGTTTCTTATCTATAAAATGAGTGTTCAGATCACTAATCCCTATGGCGTCTTCAGCTGTAATATTCAGGTACACATCTTGGGCTTTCATTTTCATTATATTTTGCTAAAATAGGCAGCTTGAATTACACAGAATCTCCACGCACTGGCTCTGAGGTGGTGATAGTTAGCATTTCTTGTCCCATTTTGAGTGTCATGGGATAGTGGGTGGACTGACTTGCTAGATCTTTTTCTTCGTCTCTTTATGATAGCTCAGAGTTAAAGTTTAGTTTTACTTATTTCTCCTCAGTGCATTGTCTTTCCCTAGCTTACATGCAGTTTTCCTGACATGCTTTCTGCCTACTCACACTTCTGCCTTGGGCTCCTCCTCCAGTTTAACTCTGTCTTGGTGCCATTCCACTGCCTGGAAGAGCTCAATGTCATCTGCAAACTTTCAGGGCCCTGGAAATTCCAGTGGTAGAATTCTTACCCATTCAAGAGATGTACCTGTCTTCTTCCTGTTGGTTAAATAGTCTAGTTGGCCTGTTAGAATCCTATCCCCTCATATTTCCTTCTCCACTGATTCCTTCTTCCTATTGAGTTCATGCTGGGGACTGTGGTAGGTGCTAGAGATATAGAAATAGCCAAGAAGCAAAGTCCTGATGCCTGAAGTGTGCACTTTTGTTTGGGAAGCTGCCCTGACTGGTATATGATGGAGCTTGAACGGAGGACGAGGGGACCCAGATGTGGGAGCACTGAGGCTTGCCTGAGGAACAGGTGATCTTGGGGTGGCCTGCCCCCTGGGTCCTTTCAGTTCGTCTGCACTCTGCATTCTGGGGCAGAAGAGTAATGCTCCAGTAGCTCTAGTGGATAATGGTGTTGTTTTCATTGATGAGAGAATATTAATAATGGTGTTGTTTTCATTTATGACAGAATATTAATATTGGCATTGTTTTCTTAGAGTATTAAAGTTTAAAGAGATACTGACAACTTATACGAAACTTGTATTTTTATTTTGGAGCCTATTATAAGGTGAACTTCAAAACTTTTTCTTTTCTTTTTTTTTTTTAATTGAAAATGTCTGCTTTATCTTGATAGCAGTGTTAGGAGGGGTTGGTTGGCCCTGTATCACACCAGCTGAGAGGTGAGCCTTGTGGCAAATGCTTGTGTCCAGAGCATGAGCCAAACACTGAGCTCCTGACTTTCTGGTCCCTGCTGTGTTCATGTGACAGAGGCCAGGACTTCACCCTGAGAGGCAAAGCAGCCCTTCTTCGTGCCTCACAGTTACAGGGATGACAACTAGGTCTGTAATTAATTTCAGGGTTATGTGGGTCCTGCCTCATTCGCAGTCCCCAGTAGGTGCTCAGTAAATGATACTGCACTAAATGTGCAGTTGTAATTCCATTACTGTTTCCTGTGGTGATCTTTTATTAAGAGAGAGATGGTGCCCTAGCTCTCTGGTGCTACTGTGTCAGAAATACCACAGGTGAGTGGCTTTAATGAGCAGACATTTACGTTTGCACTGTTTAGGAGGCCAGAAGTCCAGATTCAGGGCTAGCTCTTTGGGAAGGCATTCTCTCTCTCTTGATTCTGAGGAAGGCCCTTGTCTTTTTTTAGCTTCTTCCTTTGCAATCATCTCAAAAGAGATTAAGACATGCATTACACTAATACTGCTTCATTAACATGACTAAGACCCTCCATCCCCAGATGGGATTATAACCACAGGTATAGTAGGAGTTACAACACCTATTTTGGGTTGGGGGAGGACACAATGTATTCCGTAACAGATGGTGAGATTAAAGTTCTAAGAAGCATTGGGAAGGATTAAGAAAGTATTAAAATTTCGTTGAGAAGGGTAAGGTACCTTATCTGTGTGCGAACCTTCAATGCCTGATGTAGTGCCTGTCACATAGGCCACTCTGCTCTGCATCAGGCGGCTGCCATTTGTAGTGCTGGCTTCCAAAAGGGGTTTGAGATCTCATGTACCATATTTTCACGCAAATAGTATAGGTGTTAATCTGTTTGGACAAATCGCGAAACCCCATTGGCACTTTACTTTCTCTGCGCTGTTTGTGTTATATGCGTGTGCATGGTATATGAGTGGGCATGCTATATGCAAAAAAGATGGTATTTTTTTGTTTTTCTGGACAGGTTGTGCATTTGCCCAGTTCCTGACTCAGGAAGCAGCTCAGAAATGCCTGGCAGCTGCTTCTCCAGAGACTGAGGTAGGGAAGACGGTTAACTACAACTTCAGGGGCTACTTGAGGCAACATCTGTTGTTTACCCCGCACTTTGTTATTATTGTCCGCCATTGTAACAGGAATAAAACTCACACTTACTGAACACTCAGTGTACATTAGGCACTGGCTGAGCACCCTACGTGCAATTCCTTATTTAAGCCTTGCATCATCTTCGGAGGAAGCTACAGTAGTTATCCCTGTTTCATTGATGAGGAAGCTGCTATAGTAGCTGTTGGTCATTGTTGTGTGTCAGCCTCCTTTCTGGGCTGATGATACAAAAGACTGGACAAGAAGGAACTGAGGCCATTGGTGAAGTGAAGTGAATGCTGAAGAAAGAATGTATGAGACAGAGATTTTTTGGCGTATTCTCTGAATATTCCAGAAAATATAAGCCATTCTCCTTATTGCTGTAATTACTAAGTTCTCTTTAGCAGAGTTCCCACTGTACTGTTTTTAGTAGCTTTTTTAGATTATTAATATCTGCCCATTCACTGATAATTTTTCAGAATGAGGCTTATTTGGCACTAACCAGCTCCTCTAAGATAGTTATTTGCTGCTGACTACTGGAGCTATGTGTGTGGCCCTTTGTACCACTCTCCTCACGTTATGAGGGTCCGTGATGCACTTGAAGCCCGTGGGGGTCGAGGTTTGCTGTATTGTCCCTGGTGTTCATTGTCAGGTATCTTTTACAGGGTGGTGGGCTTAAACTGGATGGCCGTCAGCTCAAGGCTGATTTGGCAGTGACCCGTGACGAAGCAGCAAAGCTTCAGACGAAGAAGGTGAAGAAGCCGACCGGGACTCGGAACCTCTACCTGGCCAGAGAAGGCTGTGAGTAGTATAGTAGTACAGGGCCTTCTCAGCCATTGGAAATGCATAGGCCCTCAGCAGCAGCGCTCCACTGTCGGCCAGTCCGCGTCAGCAGACTTGTGTGACTTTCTCTCGGGAAACCATGACTTGGTTTGTGGATGACCCGGTCCCAATCGAGTCTGCTGCTTGCCTTCAGACCTTTGCATTAGCCTGTCAGCAGGGCAAAGTGGGAAGAGAAACTCAAACTATCTTTGCACGTCATCATTTCTAATAAGAGGTTTTCTGAAAAAGCTGCAAATTATGATTGAGATTGGATGATTCAAGGATGTGAAGTCTATACCTAACATCTTTCCTTTAATGTCAGAAATTAGCTTTACCCTAAAGAAGCCCCAAGGTCTCCTGGGTCTCACAATATTTGTCCGCCCATCTCTGCACAACTGCATCGGGCTTTGGTACTAGGCCTATGTCTCGGGGTCTGGTGGGTTTCTGGGCTGACTTCTCTCCTCGCTTAGTAGTGGTCCCAGGTGCATGCCGATGGCAGGTTATAAGGTTATAGGTGGAGCTGTTGGGTCTTGAGATGGCTAAAATGTATTTCTTTTCTGAATTTCCTTGAGGCCTGCTCATCTGATGTTGGACATGTACATGAAACTGCTTTGAGGGGAGGCATACAGAAACAAAATCACAAAATGTTCAGATCCGTAGTCCTTGAAAGCAACTCTCAGTCCAGAACTTAGCCCTGTCGCCTATTTCTGGTCCTCCCCAAATGCTATCATGTCCTGGCCAACATAGTCCTCTGGGCCCTGAGCGGAGAGTTTGCATCATTCAAAGCACATTCCTCTTATTGCTCAGTGACAATTCCCTTGGTGATGGCCTGGCCTTTTTCCCACTTTCTCCAGTGATTCGTGCTGGGACGAAGGCTGCAGAGGGCGTGAGCGCTGCTGACATGGCAAAGAGGGAGCGGGTGAGTAGACTGGACCCCAGCCTTTGGTTTTGCCTGATTTAGTGTGAGACAGTCAGAGACAGCTGCTGAGTACGTGGTGTGCCAGAGATCCAAAGAGCCAAGTACAGGCCATAGGCCCTACTTAAAGTCTTGTTAGAAAGGAAAGAAATGCACAGAGGCTACAACAAAGAATCCAGCAGGATCCTTCAGCCTCTGTTGGCATTGTGGACCAGTAGAAGAATAGGGTCTTCCTGTTTATTTTCCTAACGCTCAGCATTAAGTGTATGCTGAAAAGTAGCATGAGGGTTTTCAATTCATGGTGTCAAGCTGGCGTTTCTAACTGTAAACTTACACCATTATGCTTCTTTACTGTTTGGTAATGTTAACTTCCTAGCAGTTTTTCTGTTTTACCCATGTAGCTTACCTTCAAGAAAGGTAAGGCAGGCTAGAATGATCAAGATGCATAACCATGTGCAGAATTAGCTATGGAACCAGAAAGCGCAAATGATCTTTACAGAGATGGAGCTGTAATGACAGCAAGAGACCAGGGACCTGTTCTCACCTGCACAGGCTCTAGTTGAGCCCTCGCTACTTTTTTGAAGGATCTGGGAGTCATCGAGGGATGTTGATTGCCCTATTCTGATCACAATGGCATAATGACGTACCTCATTTCTCTTAGAAGTCATTTTGTGAACACTAGTCACTAGATTGTACACACGCATTGTAAATTCACAGCAGGCACAGAATTCTCTGTGGGTGGAAATAAGACTGTTGGGTGGGTCTGATGGTCTCTTCAAGTTTTTCTTTCCTATTCATTTCCAGAGGATTTGCTTATTTTGAGATTTGTACGTAGCTTTACCAAACAGGAAGCAGCAGGAATAAAGAGACTTGATAAAAAGAGAAAAAAAAAAGAAAGAAAGAAAACGACTTTTTCCTATATGTTGTTGTTATGTGCCGTGGAGTCTGAGGCTGTAAATCTTTACCGAAAGCCTCATTTTTCTCCCATGGAACAGCTGGTAGTTTCGAACTGCTGACCCTGAGGTTAGCAGCCCAATTTGTAACCACTATGCTATATATACCTTACTATAAAAACCAAGTCATTAGAAGAATGCCATCGTTTCATTGTAGACAGATTGCCTGGGACCGGGATTTTGTGGCTCATAGTTGAGTCCTGTTCCTGCGATCTGAGTGCATTTCTGTGGCCACGAACGTTCCTTTGCCTCAGGGTGGCAGTGTTGAGACAAGACCATAGTCTCTCACATATTCTTTAAATAAATTCCATTTCCTTCTGGAAGGACTAGGTAATTGGATTGAGTTGTAGATAAATGAGAGGTTGACCATAGTTGTTAACGATAGTGTTGTTTACTATTTGCCCTGGGCCAGCCTCCGATTGGGGAGTCATGTATGTTATCTCATCTGGGCTTCACATTAGTGCTGAGAGATTGGTATTAATTTATATTTGCATCTACAGTTTTATTTTGTAGATGAAAAAATTGAGGCTTAACATTTTTTAATGTAACTTTGGCAAGTACAGCTGGATTTCTCATTTGGGGCTGATTCTTGAGCCTGTTATCTCCCAGCCTACCTCCCCCATATGGGCTTTCGCTAAAAGGGTGACGAGCCCCTTTTCCCGTGCGTCTGGTTCGTGGGTGGAGGTCGTAGGACTTTTCCTTTTGCAGAATCCTGGTGAGTGGATGGGACTGTGAACCATTTGTTGTTCTTTCAGTTTGAACTCCTGAAGCATCAGAAACTCAAGGACCAGAATATCTTTGTCTCCCAGACCAGACTCTGCCTACACAACCTCCCTAAGGCTGTGGATGACCAGCAGCTCCGGAAGCTGCTGCTGAGTGCCACCAGAGGGGAGAAGGGGGTGCGCATCAAGGAGGTGAGAGTCCCGCTCCCTGAGCTCAGGCACCCATCCTGGGTCGGGCTGAGCGTTGCTTCCAGCCGGTGCTGCCAGTGGTAATGTGGCACTCGGATTGTTGTGTGTGAGACTGAGTTTGGCAGTTTTTTCCCCCCCGTTTAAGAAGTGCCTTTTCGTGAGTGAGCCTTTTCGGGGAGGGTGCGAGAGACGCTCTGCGCTTGGTGGATTCATGTAGCAGCACCAACGAGTGAGTGTTGTGGGCCAGCCTTCTACTCGGTGCTGCTGTGCCCATTTAGTCTGGGAGGGCATTTTACTACCAGTCAGGCTTTCACCCTGTAGAAAGGCTCCTTGGGGCCCTAAGGCGGCCCAGGGAGCAACACAGATCTTCAGGCTGTAGCTGAAAAACATAGACACCTTGCCAAGGCTTAGCTAGGCAGCATGAGTGCCCAGAGACCTCTCCCTGCTCCACTGCCCCGTCTATCAGTCATTCCTCCCGGTCACACTGACCTCTTGGGCAGGTGGTGTCTCCTTGTCCCCAGTCCTTGGAGTTCCTCTTTCAGCCTGTCTTTATTGAGAAAGCAGCAGGTAGAAGTTGTGTCAGCTCTGCTCTGGCTCATTACCAGAAACTCTTCCCGATCCCTAAAACCTCTTCAAGTGCATGGCATTGGTATTGGGAGGCTAGGTGAGAGGATCTGAACAGAGGAGCACAGGTTTGACACTCCTGGTAAATTGCCCAGAGTGTTAATGTCATGCGGCTCCATCTTGTGATATCTTGTGTCCACATGCACAATACCTATGAAGTCGCTGCACATGAAAAATCCAGTCATAATTTAGAGAAGCTTATTGTATAATAAAGCTTGTATTGAGAAGTGTGTTCTACAATACAAGAGGACTTGTGAAAGCTCGTGGGAAAATGGAATGAAGAGATAATGGATAAATGGTGCTAGCAGTTGGCGTATTTTGAGAAGACGCTCACTCATGAAGTGTCACTCCAGTACAGTTCCGGTGATGGTGATATCGGTGGAGATCCTGTCTCAGTCACCGGATTTCTGGTGAATCTGCCAGAGCAGTTCGCGCCTGGGCAGACTTCTGTTCCATAATGACTGGTTCTTTCCTTCTCCAGTGTAGGGTAATGCGAGATCTGAAAGGTGCTCCTGGGAAAGGGACGGGCCAGTCCCTGGGCTATGCCTTTGCAGAGTTCCTGGTCCACGAGCACGCCCTGACAGCCCTGCGCCACATCAACAACAATCCAGACATCTTCGGGCCTCAGAAGGTGAGCCTTCTCCTGGGGCATGGAAGAACTTCCTGGCCAGTGGGTGTCTCTGACAGCTGAGTGGGGGGAAGGGAGAGTAGCAAGTGGGTGGCAGGAAGAAGCAGGTGATTCCAGATGACGATGATTCAAGGGAGCTTGAGATGGGCCAGACAGCTGTGACCTGGCCTCCCACTTCTGGGAGGGAAAGTGTGTGGTGACCACTGACTTGTGGAGGGGCTGTGATGGGAACAGCTACCCTTGCTGTCTAATGACTGACCTTCTGTCTCCCTCTGACAGAGACCAATAGTGGAGTTCTCTCTGGAAGACCGGAGGAAACTGAAAATGAAGGAGCTCAGGATCCAGCGTAGCCTGGTACAGAACTTCCGTGGTGTTTTGTTTTTGAAAGAACACCTCTAAAGCCCTCTCTGTTGTTCAGTATGAGGCTCTCCTCCCTCTTTTGGTTCTGTGTTACCTGTCTTGGCACTCTCAGTTCCCTGGGGCTCTCCCAGCCACGCTGTCTGTGGGCCCATCTCATGACAGTTCCACAGGAGATGACACAGGAAGGAGTGAGGCAGGTCAGACCGATGGGATTCTTGTGTGATGTTGGGTGATGGTGCACACGCTCCCTGTCCATTCCAGCTCTCCATTCTATAGCTCTCTCTTAGTCTTGGATAGCTTTAGAAATGTGATGTCCAAGAGTGTCTGTGCTGTTTTAGTCTAGTTTGATGTGGACGAAAACACAGGAATGTTGGGCACAGGCGTACTCAAGTTCAAATGCTGGCTCTGTTTCTTTCTTGTTGCATGTTCCTTGGCAAGTTATTACCTCTGTGCACATCAGATCCTGGTTTGTAAAATGCGGTTAACAACCTCTGCCTCACATGATTCTTGTGAGGACTCAATGAGATGATCCTTGTAAGGGGCCTAACATACTCTGTGGTGAGCATGAAGTAAGCAATGAAGTAAACACTCTTTCCCCAAGACACGTGGGCCTAGGTTATTCTTGGGACATGTAGCTCTGAGAGTTCTGACTCTCACTGATAGTAGACCTTCACCTGCGTGTGTGCTGATGAGCCTCTTGCAAGTGTACCATGAGCTGCCCAGTAGTGAAGCGGTGTCTGTGATTAGCACAGTGCTCCTGGGGAGGAGAGCTTGGATGTGGTCATTGTTCAGGGTGACGTTATTACACTGGACAGTGAAGTGTTGGCTGCCACATGCCATTGCTTTGAGGTGATGCTGAAGCTGCTGGCCTCTTAGTGTTGGGCTGCCCGTCTCCTTATTTCTCACTTCCCGGGATGGGAGCTAGTTGTAGGTCCCCCTTCCTGTCATCGTCTTTTACTAAGGCAGGGTTGTGACTTGCTTGTAGTCAGTGCACTTCTTTCAACAAGCCCACATAAAGCTCTTCTTCTGCAGAGTGTTTTCATCAAAGTCTCCTTGTTCAGAAACCAGATGGCCATCTTTTATTGTTTTTGCAGCAAAAAGTGAGATCTAAGCCTGCAAGTGGTAAGCCCCAGGGGGACCCGCCCAAGCCTGAGAAAGAGCAGCCACAGAAGGCAGCTCGGAACCATACACAGACGCAAAGCAAGGCTCCCCCAGAGCAGAAGGGGAAGGGAGACTTCACCTTGTGGGCAGGCTTCCAGACCAAAGCAGAAGTGGAGCAGGTGGAGCTGCCCGACGGGAAGAAGAGAAGGAAGGTCTTGGTGCTCCCCTCCCACCGAGGTCCCAAGATCAGGTGAGTGGTGGCAGGGCAGTGTATTCCCCGGGGTGGGGGGGGGTGGGGGAAGGGCACGCGTGGGTGACTGTGCTTGGCTCCCCTCCTCTTTATGGCGCTGGGTCAGTGTTGTGCTGAAGGGCTAACAACTGCACAGGTGTCCTTATTCAGCAGAGTAGTGCCTCTTGGATCAGATGGAGGAGGGTCTTCTTGGGAAGAGGTACTTCCTGTCATTCCTGTCAGCTGAGTCCCTCCCACTAGAGTCCACCTGCAGATTCCGTTTGGGGCAGCTGACTTGGGCCATGCCTAAAAGTTGTTAAGTGCCTTTGAGTCAGTTCCGACTCACAGTGACCCTCACCACAGAGGAGTGGCTGATGAATTTGAACTGCTGACCTTATGGCTCACACCAACCTTGCGGTCCAGCAAGCACAACAAGTACAGAACCACAACAAGACTCCAGGCATAAGGGTAGATTTTTTTTTTTTTAAGCTTTTGTTGTGAATTGATTGAGTGATTGAGTGATCATTACATGAGAGAACATTGGTTTTGCACTCATCCTGTTGTATTTTGTTTCATTACAATGACTACAATCCCCTCCATGCATCATCATTTAACAGTAATTGCCTCTTTTCTGCTTTTTTTGTGGGTTTTTTTTTTTTTTATGTACACAAAAACACTCAAGAATTTATAATCATTTAAACAACCAAAGGGTACATTTTGCAAGCCTGCCTCCTGGCCACAAGCACACAGCCTTTCTCTTTCCATGACTCTAGAGTCCTCAGCTGCTCTCTCCCTCCATGACATCAATCTCTGCCTCCAACCCTCGTGTTGCTACTTCTCTGGTTAGGGTCCCACATTCTGCTCATGCTCTTCTTCCTTGATGGTCCTAGGTCCTCTGTTTCTGGACTATAAGATTAACTACTCCCCCCTTTATGTTATAAAACTTCTACCTTTACAATTGTGGCAAACATAATTAGTCATGATAACAATTATTTACAAATGAATCAAAAAAGAATCATATCCTCCATCTCCTTTCACCAGACCCATCTAGACAAGATGAAAAGTATTCAGTGGGGGGTTCTACCTTTTCCTGCACACTCTGAAATTAAACTTCCTCTTAAAAACTTGTAAGCCAGCCACTTTGTGCCTTTATAGCCCTCCCTGCCCCAACCCCAACCCCCACTTTACATAACCAATGCTTTGATAGCATAGTGGTTACTAGTTGGGCTGCTAACCTTAAGGTCAGCAGTTCAAAACTACCAGCTGTTCTGCAGGAGAAAGATGAGGCTTTCTGCTCCCATAAAGATTTACAGCCTCAGAAACC